ATATGAGTATACAATTACAGCCAGTCCATAATCAAGGAACCCTTTTAGATTTAGCTAGATTCGACCCTCAGATATGGCAGGAAGTAATAGAAAGATGGGAAAAAGATGCAGTAAAAGCATGGGTGACTAGTCCCTATGAATCAACAGATATGTGGGAATATATGGAGACACTTCTAGGAGATTCAGCTTATAATATTTATTTATAATATTAAATTAAATTCAATAATTATATTATATTAAATTCAAAAAATATATTAAATTATATTATGTTAGATAGACAAAAGGGTAAATTAGACTTTTTAAAGCATATCTCAACTAAGGGGATATGATATAATGAGGAGTGGTGGTATTGTATATCCTCTATTTTTGAGGGATATACAATCTCATAATATATTATATAACCTTTAAAAAAAATTACAAATATAAAATATGTGAATTCCACAAAATATAATATTCAACCTCACCCTTTATACCCTGAAATCAAACCGGGTTAAGATCTTAACGCGTATATGTGGGGTTGCAAATTACAATTAATTTGAACAAATTTTGTCCTTCATTGTAAGCAGTAGACAATGACAATGTGATTGACCCACTGATGATAAGACTAGAGGGACAATTCAGGGTGATAGTGGTGGAGGAATATTAATCTTTGGACTTACAATTAGAATTGGAAGGATGAGAAGCTGCGAATAAAAGCAATTAATTAATGAACGCAATAGTCAAATAACTGATCAATAAAGGTCGGTCTAGATTACTTGATGGGTATCGGATTCTGTTTGTTTTTAGAGGTGAAATATAAGAGTTTTATGGGGAGAGGATCGATAATAAAGAGATTGAGTGAAATTATATTTATTTTGATTTAGTATAAAATTGTTAAATTATTTTTATATAAAATAATAAAAAAAATAAAAAAATTAAATATTAATGTTAAAAAAATACTCAACATGTAAAAAATTAAGAAACAATTAAAAATTTCCAATAAATAAATAAATAAATAAAATAATAATTTTTACTTAATAAAAATATAAAAAATTAAACATTAATGTTTAAAAAAAATACCCAACATGTAAAAAAAATAAATAAATAAATAAAATAAAACAATTATAGTCCAGCAGACTATTTTTCTAATATCACCTCCACCTCCTCCATCTCAATCTCCCTTCTGAGACCCAACTTAATCCCCTCTTCCATCTCAATTCCTTTTCCAAATCTAAAAACAAATACAACATTAAATGAGTCTCACCTTTATCCTAATATCATCCCTACTTCTATATCCAAAACAAACGGGGTCTCAGAATGGTAAAATTGATAGACCGATTTTGGGGTGGGGCAGTTTAACAAAAATACTAAAAATATCAAAAAAATTATTAAATATCATATATACATACATATATATATATATTATTAAAAGTAAGATTTTTTTTAATATTTAAGTGACACATTATAAGAATTTATTTTTTTTCTAAGAGAATTACGTCAACATGTATTTTATTAATTACATATAGAGTTCTACACAAATTCAAATCTAATTTAAATTATACTAATTTTACATATTTTATATATACTCTATTTGACAAATATTCATTTTTCATGTATTTTTTATGGTAAATTGAGATAATTCACAAACCCAATACCAATTTTACATTTCACGTTTTTCTTCTTAATTATTTCAAGGATATTAGATTTTTTTTAATGCTAAATTATATTTTTTTCTTCTTCTTATTTTTCCGTGTATTATTCTATACTGAATACCATTTTTCATGTATTTTTTATGGTAAATTGAGATAATTCACAAACCCAATACCAATTTTACATTTCACGTTTTTCTTCTTAATTATTTCAAGGATATTAGATTTTTTTTAATGCTAAATTATATTTTTTTCTTCTTCTTATTTTTCCGTATATTATTCTATACTGAATACCAATTCAATATTATTCTAAATTATGGATTTGTCTTTTAAATTTTACAGTGATTTTATATATAAAATTATATTTCATTTCTTGTATTATTTTATATAATCACAATTCATAGAAGGAAAAACTTGTACAACAATGGTACTCTCGATGAATCTCTGAAGTTTGGATTTACTGTTTGAGTTGCTTTTTCAATTATTGAACAGTAAGTTTTTTTTTTATAAATATTTTGACACCATATTAAAGATAATTAATCACTTCACACACTGAGATGTATCTATTATTTGAATGTTTTTATTATTTTGTTTTTTTGGGTTTAGATGTTGTTATGTGATTCTTTCTTGGTTAGTTGTTGCTGAATTTCTTTTATATAGTTGATATTTTAATTTAATTAAGAGTGTTTATTTTATAATCTTATAATTTAATATATATATATATATATATATCATGTAAAATCATTATATGATAACCCAATTACAACATATTCATATTTTAAGTTTTTTAAATAAATTTTATATGATTTCTATTTCTACATATTTTTATTTTCCAAAATGAATATAAAAAAAATTAAATAGTTAGAATTACTTTTAATTTTATGTTACTAATTATTCTTCTAATTTAACTATTATTTTTAATATCAAAATGAGTATTTATTTTAATATTTTATAATTTAATATATATCATACAAAATTATTATATGATAATTACACTTTTATAATACGATATAACTAAAATTATTAAAATACACAAATAATTTAACTAAAATCAATATATATAAGTATTCAAGTAATAATTTTATAAAACGATAGCGAAAATATTATTAAAATAAATAATTAAAATCATATTTTAATTTTAATTTAAAATTAAAATTAAAATTATTATTTTATAACACACATTGTACTATCAAATATTTTTTTGAAAAAAAATAGGACGTGATAATATTTACATGAATGTGATATGTAAAGTTAAAACTAAAATATAACTCTTTAAAGTCTAACAAACAGGTTTATAATTTTTTAGTTTAAATCTTAAAATCAAATAAATTCAAAAGTACACCATAATTTTTCTAACATATATTAATAAATTAGATTAAGGTGGCTTAATTTTTAAATTTAAAAGACTTACATAAGAAAAATAGAAGTTTAACGGCCACATTAAATTTACCAAAAAGTTGGAGGATTTTAATATAATGACCAAAAGTTGTTTGAAGTTGATTTTTAAACCTAGACCAAAAATCTTAAGATTGATAATTCACCCTTTATTTTTTATATTAAATTGTTAGTGCGTGTTTATTAAATTGATGCGCTATGCTTTTGAGGTCGTTAGTGCATTTTCTTCATTTAGCTTTTGTCATTACTCCACAAGGACGGCACACAACAATAATTTTTTTTTCCTATCTTTTAAAAAACACAATGATGGTTTTCATTTTTAATTTTGCACTTTTTTTTTTTAAAGAAAAGTTGAATAAATAAACTGTATGGATAACTTTTTGTTTTAGCTGTAATAAATATTAATGAGTTTGGTTCCTTTTAAGTTTAAATATGAATTTGAGAGAATTTGATGAGATGTCTACTACAGATTCATTTCGATAATTTAAATGGCCCATTTCATAGGGTTCCGTATGTATCACCCATAAAAAAATGAGATCGATCTGATAATTGTAATTCTTTTTTTTATTTTATTGTTTTTGTCTTCAAATAAATGAATCGTCTAATTTCAAAAATATACTTGTCATCTATTTTTTCGAAAATAAATACAATAAAATAAAAAAATTATAATCTAATCGAATTTATTTAATTTTTTTATAAATGATATATGTTAAAAAAAATTAAAAAAATTGTCACATCTACAAAAAGAAGTCACATTCATATAAATATTATGTATATTTTTTAATAATATATATATATATATATATATATTGTGGAGATCTCTAACCCTTGTGATGTGATATCGGCATTAATTAGTTTAGTAGGAGATGAGGGCTAAAATTAGATGCGTACGTATCATACACAACTAGTTTATAAATTGAATCATACCTCTACAATGATGTAACATTTCATAAATTAAAGGGGAAATTCCACTTCAGTGTAACCTTTAAAAAAAAATATAATAAATAAATAATAAATTATATATATTAATTATTAAAATTATAAATTATTTCATGAATGTGTAATGATTTTTTAATTGTATCACTGTTTCTTAATTTTCCTTAAATTAAATGATATATATTTGTCAATGAAGAGTAGTCATTTCATTAGTTTTGTTATAATTACTAAGAACTTATCTAGGAATAGACTAATTTAGTAAATTTTTGATTATTTGGTTAAAATATGAGTTAAAAAAAATTAGTATGTTTAGAATGTCTTTTTTACTTTTTACGAAAAGATGTGCAAAAAGTAGAGAGAAAAGAGAATCTTTGACTTTTTTTGTATGAATTATTTACTTTTTAACTTTTTTAATAATTTTTTAACTTTTTAACTAAATGGGCTAGTTCCCAAATGAGGCCTAAGTCTCCAGGACGATATTTGTAAAAACTAATCAGTGTATTTGGTTTGAGTTTTCTGAATTAAGTTTTTTAAAAATTGACTTTTTTTATTTTCGTTTTTTTTGTTTTTAGTGAATATTTTAAAAATTTTAAACATTTTTTTACTTTTTTAGATGCCCCATACTTAGATGTATTTAAAAAGTAAAAAAATTGTGAAAAAATATTTTAAAAAATTAATAAATACATAAAAATACAAAAAATGTACTGAATTCTTGTATTTTTTTGTATTTTTGATATTTAGTGATTTTTTTTAAAAAAATTTTACAATTTTTTTACTTTTTAAGTGTATTTATGTTAGGTGTATTTAAAAAGTAAAAAAATTACTTAAAATACTAAAAAAATTCAATAAAAATAAAAAAACACAAAAAATAAGAAAATAAAATTTTTTAAAAAATATTTTTTAAAAAGTGAAAACAACCAAGGTATCAGCAAATTCTATAAAATTACACGTCTCTTGAATAAATTCATTTCCATCAACTGTTAAAAATGAATAGTAAAAATGAATAGTAAAAATGAATAGTGGTTGATGTGGATCCTCCAGTAGGCTATAAAAAAACAGCTAGCCACAAGCACCATATGCAAGAAGAGGGAGGGAGAGAGAGATGGGTTCCCAAAGGTCAACAGAGAAGCCAAGCCCTCCTCATGCAGTGTGTATTCCTTTCCCAGCACAAGGCCACATAAACCCAATGCTAAAATTAGCAAAGCTACTCAACCACAAGGGCTTCCACATCACCTTCATCAACACCGAATTCAACCACCGTCGCCTCCTCAAATCCCGGGGCCCCAACTCCCTCGCCGGCACCCCCTCCTTCCGCTTTGAAACCATCCCCGATGGCCTCCCTCCCACCGACAACGCCCCTGACGCCACCCAAGATGTCCCCTCCCTCTGTGACTCCACCAGAAAGAACTGCTTAGTTCCTTTCAGAGACCTAATTGCTAAAATCAACCACACGGCTTCCTCGAAAGTGCCTCCGGTGAGTTGCATAGTTTCTGATGGAATCATGAGCTTCACTGTGTTGGTTGCTCAAGAATTGGGAATCCCAGATGTTCTTTTCTGGACGACAAGTGCTTGTGGCTTCATGGGTTATGTACAATATCGTCAACTGATTGAAAAAGATCTTACACCACTCAAAGGTATTACATTTTCTAAACAGTATGAATCTATAGTTAAATTAAACAATACAAATCCATAATCAATCGTCCCCCGATTGAAAAAAATCTTACACCACTCAAAGGTATTACATTATCTAAACGGTTTAAACAGTAGAAATCATAATTAATTTGAGTGGATGATACTGTCAAAACCACTAATAGTGGCTGAGTAGTTTTTATTTGATTTTAATCCATTTATATTTTGTGGGTGTTTGGAACTTTGTTATTTTAATAGGTTATTTTAAGTTTTGACTATTTTAGTAGGTTAAAATTTTTTGTGTTTGGAAAAATAGTTAGATTTTTTTGTAGTTAAATATGATGTTTGTGAGAGAAAAAATAAAATCATTATGGATTTGATGTGATATTTGTTTAAGAACTTGATTTTTGGGTTTTTTTGTTTTTTTTTTCACTATACGACAAATATGTTACAAAATCAAAAAAAATAAATCGAAACAAATATTACATCAAATTCCATAATCATTTTATTTTTTCTCTCACAAATATCACATTCAATTGCAAAAAAACTTAATTATCTTTCCAAACACAAAAAAAAATTTCTCCAATAATTTTCTAAAACTAAAAAAACTTACAAAAAAATCCACTTCCCAAATACTCACTTTGTCTTATTAATTATTTTAGTCTATTTTTTTTTGGGGGGTGAATTTTAGCCTAAAATAGGCTAAAATAGTCCTTGCCAAACACTCCTATTAACTATTCATCAATTTCAAAAAATAAAGTGAAATTATTTATATGGTGTTCTATATTTATGTAGTAAAAATTTTATCGGTAGTGCTACGTAGCTCGAAAGGTGGATCTCGAAATTGGCTCGAATCAGAAGTAGAGGAGGAGAAGAGAGGGAAGGAAGGAGGAGGAAGGAGGGAGGAGGAAGAGGAGGAGGAGGAGGGACTGGAGGGGAAGGGGGAGGAGGAGGAGAGACTGGAGGGGGCCCAACAAATGGGGCTGGAGGCGGGGGGCGGAGGCGAGGCAAAGCCGACGAGCAGCGACGGCAGGCGACGAGGCGACGAGCAGCGACGGCCGGCGACGAATAGCGACGATCCTCGGCGGCGGCGGTGGTGCTGGCTCTTCTCCTCTTTCTCTTCTCCTCTCTTCTTCCTCTCTTCTCTCCCTCTTTCTCCTCTGTCTCTTTCTCCTCTCTTCTTCCTCTCTTCTCTCCCTCTTTCGAGCCAACCAATTCGAGCTACGGCTCATTTCCGAAAGAAAAATCATCAAGTGTAACTAAAGTCTAAATAACCTACCAACATTCACTCACTGAGTTTGAGTTTCTGTAATGGATAAACCGAAGGCAAATGTAAAGCAAAAGGGTTGTGAGCATGTGACTAGAACAGCGTTGCATGCAATGTTAACAGAGAAGGAAAAAGGAATTAGATTAAAGAGATAAAAATAGATTACAATTTATAGATAGTTGCTTCAGCCGCTTCTTATGACCAACTATAATCAGTTGAGATTGAAATTGGGCTTGATTTTTTAGCCTAGCATTTGATTAGATTAGCACACTAGCAATACAATTTATAGTCAATGCTACTTCCAACAAACCACCTTGTTCTTTATAAATTTAGGGTGCTCCTTGCAATGAGCAATATTTATCGATTTCATAGTTTCAACACTTCGATAGACAAAAAAATAAACATCCCCACTAGAGAGCATTCATGAACCCAACTCTTTCAAATATGAAATTTACACTTTTCGTAACAAAAATATTTAGTCTCTAAAAAATAATTTTATTCATAAATTTTGATTTCCAAAACTTTTATTTTTTTTATAGTGCAACCCCGACCAGTCAGTTAGTAAATGAAATGTTAATATAAGATATAAATCTGCGAAGGAATGTGTTCTTAAATTTGTAAAATATAAATTTTAATTTTAATTTTAAAATATATATTTGTTAGATTCAAAATATTAAGTTCAAGTCTCATTCACCCCTTTATATAATTTTATAGCCTATTTTAATAGGTCACCATTTTTTTTTTTAGTGTACCTTTATAAATAATTATTTTTAGCTTTTTTAGGATAGTTTAGTTCAAACCAACCTAAAGAATAAAAATAAGAATTGACCATTACTTAAGATGCAAAAAGAAAAAAAAAAGTTGGCTTACAGCCTCTGAGCCATGTAAATGAAATGCTCATTATTAAGCATGATATCCACACTAGATCTATACCTATTTGTAAAAACTTAACTAGCTTATAGATGTAATTTTAAGCCTATCTTTGATACTAACTAAATCTTTTGTGAAATACAGATGAGAGTTATTTAACAAATGGACATTTAGATACAATTATAGATTGGATACCAGGCATGAATGCTTTGCGTTTGAAGGACATCCCAAGCTTCATAAGAACCACTGACCCCAATGATATTATGGTTGATTTTGCAATGGGTGAAGTTGAGAGAGCTCACAAAGCTTCAGCCATCATATTAAATACATTTGATGCCCTGGAGCATGATGTTGTTGATGCACTATCAACCATATATCCCCCAATATACACAATTGGTCCTCTTCAGTTCCTCCTCCAACAAATCCCAGAAAATTACTTGGAATCTATTGGATCAAATCTATGGAAAGAAGAGCATGAGTGTCTTCCATGGTTGGACTCGAAAGAACCTAACTCTGTTGTTTATGTCAACTTTGGCAGTGTCACTGTCATGACACCCCAACAACTGATTGAGTTTGCTTGGGGACTTGCTAATAGCAAGCAAACATTCTTAAGAGCATCTCCAATGGTAGTAGGCATTTTACCTATCTAAATATTACTATAAAGTATATATTTTATTTTGCCTATCAACTGTTTTATGTTTTTACTCCAACCATGCTCTTTATTTTAGCTATTAATCCAAATACTATTAATTTTATAGAATGCCACGTCAACAACAAAGATGGAGGGAAATGATCCTAATGATTGAATACATTTTGCCTAGCGTTGAAGGCTAGCTACATGTAGCTAGTGAATATGAGTTGAGCCAAAATGCCTAATCATATGCCTAGTGCATTGGAATTGAAAAAAGTGAATCACACTAGGCATTTTAACTAACAAGTATTATATGCCTAGTGCATTGGAGATGCTCTGAATATGAGTTGAGGCAAAATGCCTAATCATATGCCTAGTGCATTGGAATGGAAAGAGATGAAGAGAAAGGCCATGGAGTGGAAGAAGTTGGGTGAAGATGCCACAATTTGTTATGTTGGATCATCTTTTTTGAATTTTGAGAAATTGGTCAAGTCTGTGCTCATGGGATGAATATTGGTACGGCTAGGCATAAGATTATCCAATCAGTGAAAACCACATAACCTTAGCCGCCCGTACTTATTTGGACGGTTTCGTAAAATTGTTAGAGTCGGGTGTGAGTTAGAATTTTTTTATTTTTTGGGGTTGCGGATGAGTCGTGAGTTTTATCCGCACCCAGTCACTTGTCTACATCTTTATATATATATATATATATATATTTGAATCTGAACCGTTAAATTATCTTGTAAGTCTTATAGATGGAAAAAATTGATAGAAAGTTGGTGGCAGGTTTTTATCTCAGAATCTTTCTCAACATTTGAGCTCTTTGTTGTCTTTAGACAAAGTTTTGAGGCTTGTTTTACTAATTATTTTCTTTGATCCTAGGCCACAAAACACTACCACCACCACTGAATCCGGATCCTCCGTCGTCCTTTCCTGCGGTGCATCCCCGTGGCCCTCCAAAACGACGTCGTTTTGGAGGTTTTTCTTTTTTCTTCTCACTGATATCTCTCTCTCATGGGAGGGGGCTCAGAAGGACAATACAGTGAGTCACAAACCCTCTTTGGGTCTTCTTCTTCTTCAAGGACAATCTCAACCATTCTCTTATCCCTGCTCCTTCCTCCTCCTTTGCAAGGTTCTAAATCGCTGTATCGGGTAACGTAACGGTATCGATCGCGGAGTATCGGTATCGGTAGTATCGATCGGTACGTATCGGGAATCGGGTGTCGCGGTGGTGAAATTTTAAAAATCATTTCAAAGGTTTTTTAACTTTTTCTTTCCCGTACCGGTCCGAACTGGTGAGTATCGGCCCGTCGCGGCTTGTGTAACGGCTTGTGTAACGCTTACAGGCCGATACGTACCGGGACTCGGCCGATACTCCTGCGATTTTTAATCTCAGTGGTATATCGGCCTGTATCCGTCGCGGTAACCCATTTTTCCGATACGTATCGGCCGATACGTAGCGTATCGGCCGATATTTAGAACTATGGATCCTAGGCCACAAAACACTACCACCACCACTAAATCCGGATCCTCCGTCGTCCTTTCCTGCGGCGCATCCCTGTGGCCCTCCAAAACGACGTCGTTTTGGAGGTTTTTTTTTTCTCTTCTCACTGATATCTCTCTCTCTCATGGGAGGGGGCTCAGAAGGACAATACAGTGAGTCACAAACCCTCTTTGGGTCTTCTTCTTCTTCAAGGACAATCTCAACCATTCTCTTATCCCTGCTCCTTCCTCCTCCTTTGCAGCAAATAGCCACCTTCTACCACACACATCCACCACTGACCACCACTGCTCCGACCACCCGTACCAAACAATACAATCATTGTAATAAGGTGACCAGAGGGGGAAGGAAGGAAGGAAAGAGGCAAACCAGAGGCAACAGATCTGTGATAATAAGGTGTTCGAAGATTCAACTTTGTAATTTCTTTTCCTTTCCTTTGTTTTCTCGGTAACCAAACACGGATTTTCTTCCTTTAGTACTTCTCGTCTTATCTTATATGTATTTTTTTTTAATTGTAATTTTCAGCGAAAAATAGAATTTTTGAGGAGGATACTTCGTCGTAGAAGTCCAATGAAGAAAGGGTTCATCAAAGTGTTTCTGAAAATTTTCCCGAGAAATCAGACAATTTCAAATTTTCCGGGAAAGGAATGAAGTTGGGCGATGGGTTTGAGAATGATGTTAAATCTGGTAGCAGTTCTTCTAGAAAAAAAAAAAAAAAAAACCCCTCTAAAACGACGTCGTTTTGAAGGGCTACAGGGATGCGCAGCAGGAAAGAACGACGGAGGATCCGGATTCCACCACCACCACCACCCACTTCTGCCGCAAAACGCACTCTCCACTTTGCTCTTCCTCCGTTGTTAATGGCAACAAATTCTTGCAGCCATGGTATATCACAATTCTCAGCCCGTTATCATAACAAATCTAAGCCTCCATCATATTCTTTACACCAACATTCATCATGCATAGATACTCAAAGAGTATACTCAAAATTGCTTCGCATTTGTTGATTTTTTTTGTAATCTTCATTTTATGATAATTATTTTTTTTTCATTTCACATCCACTTTTTTGTTTTTTTGGGTAGATATGTAGTTCTATTTTTATTTATTTATTTGTTTATTTTTTGTAGTAGTTGTTGTTATTGTTGTTGATGAACAAATAAAACAAACATATAAGATTTGTATGTGAATTTGAACAAATTTGTATTGAACAGATAAAAAAAATAACAGATTATACCTTCAACAGATAGAAAAATGATTTTAACAGGTAGGAATTTTGAACATATAGAGTTTGATTGAAGATTATTTGTTAGAAAAATCAGTAGATAGATTTAAACAGATAAGGGAAAAACTGAACAGATAATAAATTTTGGACAGATAGTTGAACAGATATAGGGAAAAAATTGAACAGGTAAATAGAATTTAGGAAAAAAATTGAATAGATAGATATAATTTGAAGGAAAAATTGAATAGATAGAAAAAATATATATTTAAATAGATAAATATAAATTTGAACAAGTAGTTTTCGAAAAGTAAAAAAGATAAAAGAAAATCCAGGGAAAAAATTGAAAACAAAATGTTCTCAAGGACTTCTCACCAAACTATTTCACAAAATATGGACCTCCCATCAGCAAAAAAATCACCTTATATCTCCTTAGATCGGATTTATCACCCATTAACCCTTTTTTTTATACAGATCATTAATAACATCAATACAAATGGTAATATATATAATGTGAAAAAGATAAGAATTGAAAAATCGATGTGTAATAGTAACTATTTACAATTTCTGAGTCAGAAACAATAAGTGTAAGATATTGTATGATATTAATTGTGTATATAATATATATTCAATATGATCTATCAATCTAAATTACTTTCACATTATCCATTGGCTAATAATTCATATGTATATTTAATATATATATATATATAATTCGAGTTTTGTATTGTTTGTGTTGTTTGATATCTTTACATAAGTCTGCTCAAATTTAATTTGGATTTCTGAATTTTTACCTAAACTCGCACCGAATTCAAAAATATTTTGCCCAAACCTTAAGAAAAGTCAGCCTGGGTTCGGGTGATTCGGGTTGAGCCTACCCAAATTACACCCATACGCAATTATCGATGGTTTAAAAAATTGGCGAGTTAGTTAAATGTTAGGAGAAAAAAAAAACACTCAAAGTTCAAACCCTCTAACAAAATAAATTTTAAGTTTTTTATTTTATCAGTTTAAGTACTAAATTTTTTATTTATTTTCAAGGTAAACTATTTGTCTATTTTCATTAAGTAAAATCGATTAAAAAATGAATATTTTAGTCATTAAATTCAATAAAACGGTATTTTAAGCATTTTATGTATTTCTATATTGAATTTAGTAACTAAAATATTTTTTTATTGATTTTATTTATAAAAAAATAGGTGAATAGTTTAGATTGAAAATAATTTGAAAAAATAAATTTTAAATTGACCAAATTAAAAATCAAGATTTATTTTGTTATAAGATTAAAATATTGTTTTTGTTTTTTATTTATTTATTTTTGTTTTTGTTTTTGTGTGTTGTTATTGTTGTAATTGTCTGTTAAATCGTTTAGTAGTTTCAAACTGAGCCGATTAAACAAATATAAAATATAAAAATAAAAGAAACTGGATACATGATTTTTTTAATTATATTTTATAAATTAATATATAAAATAATCAAATTAAGAAAAAAATAAATATAATATAGCATGTGTCATGTGATTAATGGTATTGAGGTTAGGAAAATATCATGTTTGAACAAATAATGTGTCATGTTATTTAATATATCATGTTATGTGATTAATGGCATTGAGGTTAACGTGGACGACTTCGTCTAGTTGGTAAAACTTGGCGTGTGGGTTGTTTCCTCTCTAGCTTTTAGATTCAATATCTATTAGTAATAATAAATCTTTTGGGGTCATATCTGTATAGGGCGTTTACTTCAGCTTTATATAGGGCCTCCCGCAATGGGGCAGTAGAATTGATCATCGAGATTAGTCGATGTGCACATAAGTTAATCCGGAAAATCCAGTTATCAAAAAAAATAATTTAGTATTGAGGTTAGGAAATTATCATGTTTGGAAAAATAATGTGTCATGTTATTTAATATAAGGTGAATTACATTAATGTCGTGTTACTTTGGTACCTAACCTTTCAATTGTGATATATTTGAACTTGAATTTTAATTCTTGCTCCAAATAAGGATAATTGAAGATACTATTACTCCATTTCAAGGGCAAAGTCGTCAATTTGATAAAATATAAACTAATTTGACAAAAATAAATGTCAAAAAAATATTTTTAAAAATTATTTCTACTCACAAAATATAAAATTACATAAAAATGATAAATCTTTTACAATTTTATTTTGTTTATTTTTTTTACCAAATTAATTTTCAATATGTGTTTGGATGATAATCATTTAATAGGTTATCTTGTAATGGATGGTTATTAAGCTTTTGATATATAATTGATATGTTTAATATATGAAATATTTTTTTATTTAAATTTTTTTAATTTAATGGATTGATTTAATAATGACATTAAAGTTAGGGAAATTTTTTTTAAGGTCCCTAATAATAATAATTTAGAGGATAAAGGACATAAAAAAAGATAGTGATGTATCAGGTCCCTCAATAACATGGCGCGCGTTTTTAATTATTTTGTGG